TGAATTAACTGCTTCATTTTTCTCTTTATCTCCCCAGCTAGTTTGCCTGGTGTGGCCTCTTTAACCATATTTAACATATTAATGATGGGGGTTCTCCAAGCCACCTGTCTCCTTTCTAGCCTGTCAGGAGATTTTCAGGAATGGGAGGCCCTTCTTCCTCAAGGACCAAAGGCTGAAGCAGGAGCTGCCCCCAGGCTGGTATGCTGCAGACTGGGTAAACCTGCCAGGTAGCTCTAAGCCTCCCTCTAGGGGGGTTAGGGACCCAAGAGCTGGGACACATCACATCTTTCTCAAAGCACCCAAGGGACCTTCTTCCTGCCTAACCATCTTCCTGGATTCTGCTGCATTTAACGAGCTCTTGGTTTCAGATATATTGGTGTCCGGTGGCGAGGCCACTTGCTAACCGGAGCAGGCCAACTGAGACAGCTGGTCCCTTTTAATAGAAAGGCCTCTGGGCCCCAGATGGTGGCCGATTAATACTTTGCGACTGTTGTTGATTTCGCCTCCCCCCGTCCTTGCTTTTTTGGCCTAATGATTCCATTTGCTGTTTTTGCTTAGCTTATCAAGCAACCGGTTGTCTCACCCCAGCTCTGGAAGGTAAACGCACCTTGCATTGCATTTCTCTGACTGCCTTTTTCCTTGGGCCCGGGCACTGAGGGGCCACTGGGTGACTGCTCGTGCACTGATCAGGCTGCATGGGGTGAGGGGAGGGTGGAGGAGGGAGAGGTACTGATGTGAGCATGGGTCTCACAGGGGCCAGAGTTGATGCTTGCATGGACCATGTGAGAGGGGCTTGGGGACTCAAGAGTAGCCATGTGAGCGGGGGTCCCTGAGATGCCTGCCGTGACATCTCTGTGCGCCTGGGGAAGAGGGCATGGAAACAGCAGGGAGCCACCAGTCACATGACCTATCTTTTCCCTATCATAGGTTTCCATGTTTTTTTTTTTTTATAATCACATATCTAGATTAGATATCTTACTGTCTGTCTTCTTCTAACCGTGGCCACTGACTTCCAGGTTTTCTCCTACAGTCCCTTAAATTCTCCTTCAGCCTCCTCTTTCTCTGAAATTTTCCTCCCTCTGGCTCCTCTCCACTCCTGCAGACTGTGAACCCTGAGATCAGAGAAGGCCGTGGTAGTGTGTTCCTCCACTCGCTCACCCCCTGAATCTTCTGCAGAGCCAGCCCATGGGCGAGGCTCGCGGGGTGCATGGCTGTCCTCTTTCCTCCTAAGCTGGGGACGACACTCTCCCTCTGGCTGAACCGACTGTTTCCATTCCAAGTGGGAACATTTCCTGGCTACTTCCCACTACCTGGGCCTCATCCCGGACTCTGGTAGATTTGGGGAGAGTTGACTGCAGCCTCCTTACACAAAGCAAGATTTCTGGATAGTGAAATGGTTTCAGAATAGCTAATAATGTCTACAGACAGAATTAGCAACCTCCTGTGTCCAAGGTCTTCGATGGGGATGAAGAGCGAGGACGCGCTGTTCTGAGTGGCTCCCCGGTAGAAGCAATAGGAAGTGAGATCCGGCCCATGCTGATTGAGGGAGGACCTGAGGGTTTCTTCAGAGCGAGGAAATCACCAAACCCAAGGGCATGATGTTCCCTCAGGCATCATGCAAACCAGCGATTCTGGTGTTCTTTAGAGACCCACGATTAGCTGGGATCTCCTTCCTGGGTGAAGTCATGAGGTTGCAAGAGCGTGGAGGTGTCAGTGTTGGACAAGACCATTCCAGTTGTGTGGGCTTCCTGACATGCTAGGGGACTAGACGCAGCATACTTGCAGTCCCTCGCATACGTCTGCCCTGGGAACAGGAAGAAGCGGTGTGATAATCAGGGAACGTGATGGTGTATACAGTGACTCCCCCTGTCCCTCCAAGTGCATCCCAACCCTTGTCCATAGAGGAAGGGCCTCTACCTGGCCACACCTTTCTGCAGTCACTCGTGTTGTTTCCAGTGAAAACATTTTTAATTATAGCGTAGGGCCTAGGGTGGAAAGTTTGAGAAGGCGTGTTTTTATTCTTGCAAAGAATGCCGAAATTAGAATAATATTAATACAGATGTCAGAGTAGTTATGAAGATTTACCTTTTTTTTTTTTTTTTTGCTATAGGATGTTGTGCTAGATGGAGAGAGACAGAGACAGAGAGAGTAAGAGAGGAGGAAAGTGAGAAATCACTCTCCAGGTTGATGGCCATGCCTCAATCCCTTCTCTAGTCTCCTCTTGGGATTTTGGGCATGCACACACACACGCCCAGTGTGCTTTCCAGCCCACCGACTCTCAAACCGCAGAGTCGGCTATGTGGGATGTAGTGCCTTAACCTCCACACTACCTGCTGGTCCTCTGCACATTTTCTTGAAGCCTAGTTTCTCTGTTTTGTTTTTTTCCCCCCATTTATCCAGTAGCTGACATGATTCCCTTAGAGTTGCCCAAGCCGAATATTAGATCCAGGTTCATGTCTGTGGATGAGGTTAAGATTCAAATTATGTATGGCAGGCCATAGTTAGGGATGTTTGGAATTAATTACAGAACCATAGAAGTAGGATTACATTTGGCCTGACAGTTTCTAGTTATTGGTTGAGATTTGGTATTCTCCAAAGTCAGAAATTGCTGTTGGTATGAAAATAGCAAAAAATGTTTTCAGATGTTCTATTTCCTGAGAGATCAGGTAGCGGATAGCCTCCGGCCTGCTATATTTTGAGTGGCTTATGAGAGAAAAGAAAAGAAGCCGATTGGACAGATGAGCTTTGGGCCTGGGTGTTGCAGGGAGTGTTACAGATGTCTCACTGCAGACGCGGCTCCAGCGTTGAGGTATGAGACAGGCTGGGATCTCCTTCCTGGGAAATCTTTGCTGGGGAGGGCTCCTGTCAACTCCACGAATGCCCCAGGCACCTGCCTCCCTATGGGGAAACTACGGCCAGACCCCCTGCCAGCCCAGAAGTCTCACTGGATGGCAGACACTCTTCCTAGGCTGCAGTCTTTCTCCTCACATGCAAGTCCAGCATTTAGTATTTACAGAATGCATCGAGTGTGGAACTCCTCTACCTAAAGTGTGTGAAGTTACAGATCCTGCTTGTGCTCCCACAAAGTCTTGCTTTGCCCCTGGGGGAGAGGCCGTGGATGAGTGACACTGCCCCTAGATGACCTCCCCTTCCTCTGAGCCACAGAGAAAGGGACCTCTGAATGACGTTGTCATTCGCACCAGTGTCTCCTGCTCTTCTCAGCTTCATCCCAGTCCTCCCTGCTGCTCACTATAGGTGTGTGCCTGGGGAATGGGGAGAGGGCTGGGCACGGCTTGTGCACCACACACCCTGGTCATGTGGTTGTGCTTCACGCCTCGGCACGCACTGGTCTCTGCTAGCCCGTGAGAGGGTTTGGTGCAGTGGTTTGCTTCCCGCACCTGGGAAGGGGAGGGCTGTAAGCCCCAAGCACTGTTGGTGAGTTTGCACTGGCCTCGGTGTGCCCGCAGATGCCCCTGAGTTCTGGGAGCTGCACTGTCCCAGTGGAACGAAAAGTTGTGGTTTGTGCAGGGGCGGATCTGTTTGTGGCCTGGCAACCCTGCTGGTGGGTCCTGGGGCTGCCAGCCATGTTTTCACTTCAGCATGTGGAGTTGGGGCTGGAGCAGGGAGCCACAGCTGGCTTGCCAACGCAGGTCCCTAGCCCTGTCATCGGAACTCATGTGGATCTCTCCTTTCTGATACATCTAGAAGTTAGAGTCTGCCTTTGGGTCTAGAACCTTGGCAAGGCCAGCTTATTCTTTCTCCATCATGCTCTGTGCTCACAAATGTCAAAGCTCAGCTCCTGAGCTCTTTGGACATGTGAATTTCTGAGAACTGGCTGGCTTTTCCCTCCTTGGCATGATTAGAGGTTTGGCTATGCCAGGGGTACCATCTTTGAGGCTTCGTCTGTCCAGGCTGTGTCTCCCCCATCCACCAGCTCCCCTGGAGATAAAGGTGGAGGATGAAGCAAGGCCCCCCCGATAAGGGTGGGGTGGGGACACTGGCTGGTGCTCTGGCATGCTCAGGAAGCTGGTGACCCCTGCCTGCTGTAATGGGTCTGGTCAGAATTCCACTTAACCTCTTGGTAGCACCCCTGCCCCCAACTGGCCAAGCAGCCCAGCTCCCTTGAAGAAAGGCTTGCCCAGGTGCCGGAGCCGGGGGCACGAGATGATGGACAGACGCGGTAAGATGCCAGCTGCCTTGGACAAGGCCAGGCTGTGGTTCATTTTGCTGGGAAGGGCGGCTCTGAATAGTTCTTTGCCTTTCCTAGGAGCACCTTCTGCTCCATCATTGCTCAGCTAACAGAGGAGACCCAGCCGCTATTTGAGACCACGCTCAAATCCCGAGCTGTGTCCGAGAACAGCGATGTCAAGTTCACGTGTGTCGTCACAGGTAACGGGGGTGGTCTGTGTGCTGCACACCAGGGCCTCTGCACAGAGCAGGGTGCACGGGGGCTGTGGGGCAGGTGTGGTGGGCTGGTGAGCTGTGTGGCCATGTGAGCTGGCGTTTGCTTGCTTAGCTTTCCACCCAGTTTAGTGTCCCTGTGTACCAAGTGTCTCTTCCTCCTCCCATTCTGGAGCCACATTTTTTTTTCCAGGGATTTTTTGCTGTAGGGCGCGTGCCCTTGTCGGCAAGACAGGGAGAGACAGAGAGACCAGCGAGAAATCAACTTCCCGGGAGGGATGGCCACATCACAATCTCTTCTTCTCTTGGAATTTTGGGCATGCACACACACGTGCCTGGAGCGAGTTTCAAACTGCCACGTCCAGGACTTGAGCTGCAGTGGGCCATGGGGGAATCCAGTGACATAACCGTTAGAGCATCTTCTGGTCCCCCAGAGCCATATGTATACCTTGTGCCGCTCCTCCCAAATCTGTCCTCAGTAAAGCTCCCCCATCAGTGGGGAGGACACTGATAGGGGACCCGAGGCATGCGGGCGGGACTGATGAATCTTAGTTTCAAGAGAAGAAGTGCTCAGATGGGAAGACACCTTTGAGGCTATCCGCCTGCATGTTCCCATTTTACTGCTGAGTACTTGAAGGCTTAAGAAGGAGTCCTGATCCCCGGAGGCAGTTACATAGAGGGATTCCGGCTGCAGACCCCGGAGAGGCCGACAGCCTGGCTAGGAATCCTGGCTCAGTCCCGTTCCAGTGATACGATATCCCCCCCAGGTTACGTAACCTCTCAGCTGCCTCATCTGTAAAGTGAGGATAATAATAGTAAACGAGGCTAAGAATAGTGTTTCATAGGTTATTGTGAGATCGAATGAGCTAATACACACAAAGCATTTGGAATGGTACCTGACATATGTACAGTAAGCACCACATAAAGATTATTTGCAATTCGCTGAGCTCCCCAGTAGCATTTGAAGCAACAGGAAGTGGCTAGATACTCCTTGGAAGGGGAGGACGGGGTGGGAGAGTTGGGAAGCTGGGAAGCTGTGACCACCCAGCAGAACCCTCCTTTGTACCAGCTCGACCTGCCTCAGGGCCGCCAAGACCCACCAATGGGTGTCTACCCCTTCCAGCTGTGCAGCTGCCAATTCAAGGGTCCAGGTTCTCTCTCTTTACTGGTTTTTGTTTTTGTAAATCAGGGAAGGGCGTTGGTGGTTTCCACCTACGATAGTCTCTCTTTCTGGGGACTTGTCTTCCTCAGCCAGCTAAATAGCATCCGCAGAGGCCATTTTTGCCCTTATTGAGGACCCTGTGAGTTCCAGGCTGAGAATGCTCTGCTCCAAGACACGGGCTCCTTGCCTCCCTTACCTTAGCACAGCACCTTCCTTCCGTTCCCGTGCTTGGTGAATTCTTACCAAATTCTGTGAAGTAAGGGCTATTATTAGTCAAATTTCACAGAGGAGGACACTAGAAGACACGAGGGGATTTGCCAAAGCTCGTGAAACTGGTGAGGGCGAGGCCGACACTCGCTGTCTATTCTGTCTGCGGCATCTGATGGTGCTGGCTGGCGTTCAAGGCTCCTGTTCCCCGGCACTGGCCGGTTACTAGAAGAACCCGTTCTTTCACAGCTTGCGTTTTTGTATGTCCTTCACACCTCATGCTTTTTATTTATTTGTTTATTTTTTAGAAGTTTTTGCTATAGGGCGCAGGCACTCGCCAGAAAGACAGAAAGAGGAGACAGAAAGCGAGAAATCACCCCCCACCCCAGGGGGGGATGGCCACACCACAATCCCTTCTCCTCCATTTTCCTCTTGGGATCTTGGGCACACACACACACACACACACGTACCCAGTGTGAGTTTAAGCCACTGGATCTGGGACTCGAACCGTGGTCAACTACATGGGAGTCCAGCGATATAGCCATTATGCCAACTACTGGTTCCCCCACCTCATGCTTTTGTATAGTCCGTTTTCTCTATTTAGAAAGTCCTTAATCTTTCTTATTTAAAACAATCTTTAATTGCCAGAGGGTGATTGCCTGAGAGAGACACTTGTCTGAGAGACAGAGAAAGAGAGGGAGAAGGCACCCCAGCTCCTGATGGGGTGTGGTCACACTGTGATCCCTTCTCCCCCATTTCTCTACCCTGTCGGGATTTTTTGTTCTTCTTTTGGTCGCTTCCTAGAAAGAATGTGCAGGAAGTAGATGTTGGACTCCTTATGTCTGAAAACGTATATTTTCCTACTTTACTCTTTAAAATTTTAAAAATTTATTAATTATTTAATGTCAGAGGGTACATGTGCATGCTTAAAGTAGAGAGAGAGAGAGAGAGAGAAACCTCTCCCATGAGGCCTGGTCATACCATAATCCTTTTCTCTAGTACCCTATCCTGTTGGGATCCTGGGCTCGCACACACATGTACTCTACATGTCTTTTTAGCCACCAAGTCTGAGACTTGAACCTTGGTTGACCATGCGGGACCTATTGAGTTATCAGAAAAGTCATGATGTATTTTTTCTGTTTTGTTTGTTTGTTTGTTTGTTTTGTTTTTTAATTTTTAATTTAAATTTGACCAGAGTGGGACAGAGTGAGAGAGAGAGGGAAAGTGAAAAAAAAAGCCACTAGGTCTGGAACTTGAACCGCTGTTGGCCATGTGGGAGCCCAGTGCCCTGCACCACCACGCCACCTGCTGGCCCCCTGGTTTTCTAAGCAAAAATGTCAATACCTTTTCTGACAACCCAGTAGCTTCCCCCTGTGCTTAATTGCTATGCCACAGGGAACCAGCAGTTGGCGTAATGGCTAAGTCGCTGGACTCCCACGTAGTCAACCGCGGTTCACGTCCTGGACCCGGTGGCTTAAAACCGGGCGTGTGTGCGCGTGCCTAAGATCCCGAGAGGAGAAGGGATTGCGGTGTGACCATCCCCCCGGGGGGTGATTTCTCGTTTTCTGTCTCTATGTCTCTCTCTGTCTGTCTGCGAAAACCTCTCCCAAAAAAAAAAAAAAAAAGAATTACTATGCCACAGGGCTGGCCCCTGAAATTTTATTTTAGAGATTGTTTATTTCTTCCTTGGGAGAGAGAAACAGGCACCCCTTAAGAAGGTCTCCAAAACATGATTCACCCCCAGCCTCAGGTGGCCCAGATCACAGGCATGCAGCTTGGTGCCTGGTGTGCTCGGTGAGGTTCTAGGACACAAACTCAGGGCCTTTTCCATGTGGGTCTAGTTGTGCCGTCCTGTGCCAGTACCTGGTCCTTCTATAATGCTTCGCTCTCGATGGAGAGTTTGGTTATAGAATTCTAAGTTGAAAAGAATTTTCCTTCAAAAATGTAAAGCTATTGTTCCATTGTCTTGTTGCTTCCAGTGTTGTTGTGGGGAATGGGAAGACAGCCTGATCCTAATTTTTTGCACGTGACTGTTTGTTTCTCTCTGCAAGCTTGTCAGAGTGTCCTGCTATTTCATAAGGATGTATTTTGATATGGATCTGTTCACCCTGGGGCATTTGTGGATGCTATCACTTGGAAACTGAGAGCCTTTAGTTCTGAGAAATCTGAGATTACCTTGATGTTGATATTTTTCCTCCTGTTTACTGTGTTCTCACTTTCTGAACCACAGTTTAAGTATTTGTTCCCCTGGATTTGTTCTCTTCTTTTCTTTTCTTTTTTTTGGAGAGGCTTTTTTTTTTTTTTCCCTATAGGATGCGTGCGCTCGCGAGAGAGACAGAGAGATAGAAAGCGAGAAATCACTCCCCAGGGGGGATGGCCACGCCACAGTCCCTTCTCCATTCTCCTCAGGCTCTTGGGCATGCACACACATGTGCCTGGCGTGACTTTAAGCCACCGGGTCCAGGACTCAAACCACAGTTGACTACATGGGAGTCCAGCGATGTAGCCCTTACGCCAACTGCTGATCCTCTCTTATTTTCTTATCCTTCCTTCCTCTGTCATCTATTTGTCTTTTTGTTCTACTTTCTGGAAGATTTCCCTAGTTTTACCTTTCAGCTCTCCTACTGAGTTTTTAATTTCTGAGAGCTTTCTGTCCTTTCATGAACATAGTATCTTCTCTTAGCTCTCTGAGACTATTGATGATAGTTTCCTAAAAGTTTTCTTCTCCTTGTGTAGTTCTTCTTTTTGCCAATTTGCTGGTGTTCTATTTAGTTTTATCTTGTCCTTTCTTCAGCTATCTGGGAATCCTTGGCTGTCAGATAATAATTAAGAATGAGAGAATAAAGAGCTGATTAGAAGGTAGCAGGTGGCATGAGTGTTAAGGCACTGGACTCCCAAATGGTTGACCATGGTTCGCATCTCGGACTCAGCGACTCGAAACTCATGCCAGGTGTGTGTGTGTGTGTGTGTATGCCTAAAATCTTGAGAGGAGAATGGAGGAGAAGGGTTCGTAGTGTGACCATACCCCCTGGAGGCAACTTTCCACTTCCTCTCTCTCTCTCTGGCAAACCCATGCCCCCTATGGCAATAAACCTTTAAAAAAAAAAAAAAAACTGGTTGAAATTCTGAGCAAGTAGGAGAGGTCTGAAATTTGGATCTTCACTATAGGGGCACCGGGGTAACCTGGGTAGCCACTATGCAGAACTGCGAAGTAAGTTTCTTCAGCTTTTCCCTCTTTGACTAGCTAGATTCCCTGCAGAAAGGCTTTCTGGGAGTTATGTGGATTAGTGGGTTCGGTGGGCTCTCAGCATAAAGAATTTATTTACTTGTTTTTTAATTAAAATTTTTAAAAAAATTTGTCAGAAGGCTCGTGTGCTTGTCAGAGAGACAGACCGACGGGCAGAGGGAGAAAGCACCTCTCAATGGGGCATAGTCACACCACAATCCCTTCTCCATTTTTTCATCCTTTTGGAATTCTGGGCATGTACACACATTGTTTTATTTTCCAAGCTGCAAGTCCAGGATTTGAACCACGCAGTTGGCCATTTGGGATCCAGCTCTCTTAACCACCAGGCCACAGACTGGCCCAAGCATTTCTTTTGTAATATATGACTGTTAC